TTTTTTTTTCTTTTGGGATCCTTGGTGCTTCTGGTACTTTTTTTTAATGGTTAACTATTTAGTCAGATTGCCGACCAGATTGTATAAGACAGCTGTGGTCTTGGACAAATAAAGCAGAGCTTGCAGAGGTTCAGTCGGCTGCATGGCGTGCGCTCGCTTGTTTTCCTGCTGACTTGTTAGAAGCTCATTCTTGCCTGGATAATATGCAGGAGGGTACTTCCTTTCAGGCAGAACTCATTTCAGTGCTAAGCGTGATAGAGGATGAGCAAGTTGCTGCAGGCAATTGATCGTTATTTTCATTTTCTTTGTCTCTGTAGTTTCAATACACAGCTGTAGATATTAGCTCTTGGAGCAACTGGCAAAGATATATTAAGTTTGTTTTTTCGATTTGAGCTGTCCAGTGTTTTGGTCTAGACTTTGGTTGCTTTCTTGGAAAAGTGGTCTCAGACGAGGTTGAGGGTTTGGGTCGTAGCTTATATATTACCAAACCAAGTCCTTCCAAACCAGACGGTGGTGTTTTTGAACTGGTAAGCCTTGATTTTATATTTTCAAGTTGTAAACTTTTTAAAATCATATACCGGTTTCAATGTTTTGAAGCCTGTCAATGTTTTATGGATTTGAACACCTGCTTTGTTTAACTTGGGTATCTAGGTTGTAAAGAACTTTTCCTGGGAAAAAGTGAAAACTATGTGCGATATTGCTGCTCTGACGTTTTTCAAAGTTTTCTGTTCCTCAATGAGTTCAGCTGGACGAGATGTTTCCGAAATCTCGCAAAGATTACACTATTTGCTTGTAAAAGTTGGTTACTAATATATTGAGGATTTTGAACGGGAAAAACCCGGCTAAAATTAGGGTACATTGTTGTACTATCATTTAGTAGACAGCGAATCCATTGTTTAAGACTTGTTTATTGCCGTCTAGGCAGGATGTAGTTTCATATCGTAATTTGTTTGCTTAGAAAGAGTAATCTAGCTATACTTTGGCTTCTAAAAAGTCACTGTTAATTGAAGTTTCCCTGTGAGGTATTGAAGAAATATGTTTTTGCCGACGTGGTTGAGTGGTTTGTTTTAAAAGCTCCGAATGGAAAGTTTCAGAAAACAATATTTTATGGTTTACCATTTATCAAAATTTGATTTTAGACAACAATTCCTCTAGATGATATGTGGTTAGCTATCAAGTACATTTTGTCCTGGAAAATAACCGTAGAAGGCACGTATAGGATGCTTCTCAAAGAATCACAAAAGAAAAATTTCGAACGCTCTACTTGCGCTTCGTTAGTTTTGTCATCAAAACTATTAATTAATATTTCCTTTGGTTCTGCGAAATGGATGGATTTAGTAAAATATTGCATGAAAGTTCTTTTGAAATTTGTAAGTTTTGGTAAACTTTTATATAATTAATTATGTTAAATTCGCAAAACCGTTTTATTATAGGAAGTCATCTATAACGGTTAGAAAGTTTTATTAATAGATCTTCAACCACCAATTTTCTGAACAAATTTTTAGAGCGGTCTTCGTTTTTGGCGGAAATTGCTCTAATCACCAGCGTTATTCCACTCATTTTCTGTCTACTTTTTTACTTGACTCACATAAGTCTCTGTTTAGACCGTGGGATCGAATTGTGGATATCATGAGACATGCACTGTCAGTTAGCAGTTCTGCGTTAAATAATGTTGTCATTGCCTTGAGCTTTTTGATGACGGTACATTTTACTTAGCCATAACTTTAAATTTTATTGTTTAAAAAAATTTATAGTTGGTTTGCGTGAAGCTGGAAAATTAAACTTCATTAAATAAGTTTTTAGCCTGCGTCTTTTTGCTGTACAGGTGACTGGTAAAATTAAAAGTTTTTGAACAGGACAGAATAGGCATTTTTTTAGTGCTCAGAAGTAGTGGTAGATGCCGCTATGAAAGTTTCCGCTGGGGAATTTCTATTGTCTTGTATTAATCCGAATTATCGCAGCAGCTGTGCACTTCTCTTTCGAACCAGTCTGGTACCTATAATTAGTATTTAATCTTTTTTTGGTTTTACTGTTGTTCTTGTTGAAGAACTGAGCGTTATTAGTGCGGCTGTCGTATAATCTGAAAGATTATTATAGTTTTCCACTTGGTTGTTTCTGATGGGTCTCTTATGAAAAGAGATTAAAAAAAAGTTGCTAACACGTTTAGGATTGTGTGTACTATCTTTTTTACTTCTTCAAGTGTTATTATCTATTTTTTTGTATGAAATTCATTTTCATTTGAAGTTGTCTAAAAACTTCGCATAAAATTAACTTTTTAGGATCATAGTGATAGCTTGAGAGCTCTGTCGTGCTACGCAACTTCACGACTGTTTTATTCACTTGATTCAGTTGCAAATAGGGATTTTGGGTACGTATGTGACTTGGTAAATAGCGCAAATAATGATCACAATAGTCATGGAAGCTGGCTAATTGATATTGTCAGTAGCAGTTGCTGTAGAAAAACGAGTGTCAGCGGTAAATGTAACTTAACTCCGGATAGCTCATCATCTTTTGACATGATGATGTTGTGGTTTGGTGTTTAGATCCAGTAAAGTTGTCTCGCCTCTTAAAAAACATCAAACTAACGAAATCCGAAGAGTATGTGTCCTGTCGGTGGGAAAGGTATGAGGTGCAGTTGGTTGGAGCTTTAATAGAAGCAAATTCTGAAGTTGTGGAATGTGTATCTGATCAAGTTTGTGGAAAAGAATTGTTGGAAGAAGATGTTACGGGTCTGCTTCAGAAGGATGAAATGACTGCTCAGGAAATACAGGTTAAATATTATTGGAAGGGTTTCAATTTGTACCCTGAGTGAAAGGACTTGATTTTATATTGGTATTTTTAATACTGATTTAGTGGATCATTATAGGAGTTACTACGACGGTTGCGAACGTGTAGGTTAGAGTTTTCCAACCGTTTAATGGCTAAATTAACCAAGAAGCTTGGAAAGTGGATGAATGGTGACAAAGAGATTCAGTTAATGGTGCTTCAAGGTAAGCAGTGTCGATTACCTCGATTATTTTTTCGCCTAGTTTGTTGTCAAGATTAACATCTCTTTAATATTGAATTGTCATTGCTTATGCTTTCGCACCACCAGTGGCGTGGACGTTAACGTAAATAGGTGTTATAAGAAACACTAGGGGACTGTAATTTTTTTGATTTTCTTTGTTTAAGCAGCGAGGAACTTGATAAGATGGTCTGTGCTCAGTAGCAGGTCGGTGAAAATACGGAAAAAAATTATTACTTTTACTTTTCAGCTCTGGAAATATACATTTCTTTTTGTAGATTTGATCTCTTTTTTTCATTATTCTTGATAATAACTCCCTTTTACGACGTTTAGAAGCCACAACTTTCCAAATTATAAATGAATTTAATGTATTCGTCTCTCATCCGAAAAACTATAACTATCTGCCGGAAAAGTGTCTTTTACGCGCTATGGTTAGAAAACTCCAGGAGGGTCGCAAAACGTCAAATACATTAGTATGTGAAAAATTGACTTCTCAATTTGAATTTTGTTTGTTGTAGCCGAACTGTTCAATTCAGTGAGCTTATTAAATAAGTTACGCTTAAAAGTAAGTCCAAGTTTTGTTTCCCAAACATGAATTGATGATGTTACAATTTAGGGCTCTCTTGCTATATTGAATGGTTTGTGTGAATGCAAGCCAAGATCCGATAAAAGAGAGTTACCACCGCTTGAATGGGCATTTTTATTCACTATATTCACAGCGTCTTCTAAAACTATCCAGGCTTTGATCATTCGTCTCGCTGTTCGCCAAAAGGATATTAAAGTACCTTTCTATGTTTTGTTTTAGCCGAATCAGGAGCCTTAAAATTAACTCATTCACCATCTCAATACTTCATTTTTCCGACCTTATTGTTTTAGTTTGTTTTTAGTTTTAGTTGCTTAGTATCGCTTGAATTTAAGCCGAGAGGTTGGCTAATTTTCCTTTAGGAAGTCCGGATTACTAAATTTTAACTGCTCTGAGACCTGGAAAAGAATGAGCCATCAAAAGTTGTCACTGTTTTGAGCAAACATCAATTTTGATCTGTCTGAAAGTTTTCTGCCGTTTATTTCATTTTTTAAAAACTTGTCCGCTCACAATTGAAAATTTATTTGCGTTTATTTAACACATGATTAATCTGCGTGAGATTACAATTTGATAAGTAATTGTTGACCAACCCTTGAAGAAATCCTGCGTGCCGGTTAAGCTGCTACTGCAGCAGCAGACTGTTGAATAGTGTAAAAAATTTTGATTAGATTTGGTAGAAGGTTTTGCAGCATTTTGCGCACGTTTAATATCTTTCCCGTACCAGGTATCACATTTTTGTGAAATTCTGATATGATGAATATTCTGTGAGTGTGTGCAATAATTGCTGAGCTTCTTAGTAAGCACGTTGTATCTTTAGTTGAGAGTCATAGTTGGTACTGCTTTGTTCTCGGTAAGATGTGGCTTCAGATAAGTTTGCGGCTAGTTGAACCAGAAAGCGGGGCAAAGGCGGGTTTCTTGAATCAATTTTCAGAAATTTTCATGTGCATCGGAATTTACAAAGTGTGGATATTTTATATAACTTGCTTTATGGCTTTTGCTTTTCAAAGACACCGGGTTACGTTTTGATTGTGCGTCAGTGCGGCTTCTTTCTGAAAAATTTTAAGTTTTAAAATTACTACCTGAGTGTAAGTGGTTGGTTGGGGCTTTTTTTTGCAAATTTTTATTTTTATTTTTTGTTTAAAAGTATTTTCTTATCAAGTAAAGGATTTTGAAACTCTTTGAGTTGATTAAAGATAGTGGTTTTGCAGAGCACTGTATTAGTAAAGGCTTGAGATTTTGAAGTAGCGTCATCCAGCTACGCACCAAATGAATTTCTTTCAGTAAACTTACCTGACCTTCTAGTGAGAGACTAAGCAGTAGTGGAATTGGTAGATTGAATATTAGTCGAAGTAGTGAGTTAAGAAACTGATATAGTTTGGTGGAAAAGGATCGTTTTTTTGATTTCTACTAATTTCTACAGCTTTTTAGTGCTTATCGCTCAGAAACACTTTTCCTTTTATTGCAATTTCTTTTTGTTTAACTGCTTTTTGTAGAATAAGTTTGTTGATGATAAGGAAAGTGCGATTTTTCTATTGGACTACTAATTGTGGAAGTAGGTGCTGGTGTTTCTAGGTAGTTTACGTTAATAGCAGCTAATTATTCCAGTTGCTGTGCAAAATAATTGCGTCGGATGTATTTGCGGAAAACTTCACGTTTTTTTTGGAACCGATCTTAGCTCACTTTGAACTCTTACAAGCACTTCTGCCTTGGCCTTTCGTAAATGTCGTTGTGGACAAGTTGTACGAAACCGCTGCTCTAGGTGAAAACGAGGATAACATATGGAGCGGTATTGCTAAAATTGGGTCACAAAACCCGCATGTGATAAAGGTCTGCTTCTGCTTTTTAAAAAAGTTTTTACCTGCCTACGATATAAAGTCTTGATTTAGTTGTGGTTTTCCAAGATACCGGAGATTACCCAGATAAATGTACTTGAACATCCTTTATATGTTCATTTCAAAGACGTAAGGATCCCGAAGGCTTATTCGGAAAAGAATTCTTTTCTTGATATTTGGGTCAAAACGAAATCTGATTTGTATGAGGATAGTGTGCGATCGCTTGTTAGTTCAGTTAGGAACATTGACAGCAAAATGACGTCGTACATCACTCAGAAGAGGTTAGATTTTGATTTATGGTTGTGGAAGATTTTACAGATATGTATATACTGTGGCGGTCATAAAAATAGGGGATAATTTTTTTACGATTGGTAATTTTCAACAGCATCGTTTCTTTATAGGTGTGACTGCGCTTTGAAGTGTAATTAATGCGCATTCACCTTAGCAGAAAGCAAGGCAATTTCCTATGGCTTTTGGAAACCTGGAACGTGCTTTTCATTATGTTGAGACGTCCAGGTGTGAAGTGACTTCATTTTAAGTCTTAGCTAGGAGAAGAAATTTTTCCTTACTTTTATGGTCGCTACTGACGTATATATGTATTAAAAAATCTAGAATGTGACAATTTTTTGTTCAGATTTGTCATGTCATGAACTGTCAAGTGAGTCTCCATTTTGTACTCGTTAAAATCCTGGTTGCACAAGCGGAAA